CAAAAGCCATTCGCTTCATGTCACCTTGAAGCCATATGACGTCAATTTGTTTGCACTTAGCTCTGTTTGCATGCTTCTCATAATTTTCCGGTATAATGGAGGCAAGAAAACTGATAGACGAGGTGGTTGGTATTGTATCGCCATTTGAAACTTTATGACTGAATACAATGAAAACTAAAATTGACTTCATGTGATCTCCTTTAAAAACTCAACTTAGTTTGCTACTTATTTGTTATTGTATGAAATCGTAAATTTGCCAATCTTTTCGCAAAATTGTTTCCTGGACGAAAAACGACTATGCTTACACATTTTACTGAGTCGGTAGATAACAAAGAAACGATCACCCCAAACAGTACCCATGATGTGGAGCAGTGTTTGTTCTGATTTATTTTCTGACAACATGGTTGCACAGAGGATCTGAAGCATGGCACTGTGCCAATATCCTTTCATATATGAATATAAATATGAAGATATTATTGAGCAGGCTAAGTCTTACAACAATAAACTTAGGTTCAACATACAATTATTAATTGCCTTCCCCATCAAGTTATTTTTGATCGGATGTAATTTTATGGATATAAACACAATGTAAATGCACATACGCATGGCGTGTACCCAGTGTTGCCAGATAAAATTTTAAAGTATTCATGCTTGCTTTCGTCAAAAGTTCACAAAAATGGCAAAAAGCTCATATTACATCTAATCTTTAAGATCGAAAGTTAACGGACTAAACCGAAAATTCTCAAAACACCTGGAAAATTGTCGAGAACAGTCGGAAATTACCAGAAAACATCGGATTACCTTGAAATTTAAAAATCGTCGTTGTTTTGAAAGAATTGTCGAGGTATGAAGATTTTCCCCTTTCATTAAACTATATTTTACCTATGCTTACTTGATGAAAATGATGAAAATACAAAAATTTATGAAATTTTGAAAAGCTCACAAAAAGTTTACAAACTTTTAATGTTCATAAAATGTTCACGAAAAGAGCAAAAGTTCACAAATCTGTGAATTTTTTCACGATCTGGCAACACTGCGTGTACACGTTTAACAGAAGTCATTTTTATCAATTCTCTCCTTTGTTTTTGCGTCAGCACAAATTGATTAAGCATTTCCGCGATTTGGCCAGTTTATAACCGGGAAATAAGTGGCAATCGCTGCAGATAAAACGATCGCTTTCAGAAGTCTCCATTTTAAAAAATCCACATTTTAGTACCTTATCCTAAAACGCATTTAAGAGAATATTTAGCTGTTTAGTAAATATACTAAGCATATTCGATGGTATTAGTGCAGACAGAAAGCGCGAAAATTTATACGTTTTGAAGCAAAAATATTCTATAGTGTGGACGTGATCTTTATGTAAGTATCTTTACGCAATAAAAGTATCTCCCGCTGAGCAAATTTGTTTCATATAGACCAATGCTGTTCTTTATGCCTTCGGCAAATTATACATACATATAAAATGTGGCATCTAAAGTTTGCTGCGTTGCTGAAATAAGGTCGCTCTTAACCTACAATGACGAGCTTGCTACTTACTTGTAGCAATCTTTATATGATAATTATTTCAGATACTTTGGTTTAAATTGTATCTCTTACTTTGAATTACCAAGTCTTCTTTATATAGCATTATCTCACCGACTATTTGTTTAATTGTCCATCCATATAATCATATGGCAGCCCTTTAATGCTGTAGTAGTTTTTTCATAAAAAAGCACAATCCGCTTTTTCATAAATATTGAATATAGCATAAAATTATGACTGCGATATTGACATGGTAAGACTGTTGTATGGATGCCTGTCTAAACTCTAAGAAGAGATCAGCTAAAATGTTTAAAACCTAGCAAACTCTGCAAAGAAGCTAATCAATGTAAATAATTGTTAAAATTTGTTGAGCAGCTTGAATAGTAAACAATTTACAATAATCCACCTCACATTACAGAATCCTGCTCGGGAGCACGGCCCACAAATGAAACTTTGCTAAGCAGAAACCTACAGTATGCGCCAGGTGTAACAAGCTGCACAAGGTAACTAAGGCCAAGTCGATTTCCAACAAAAGATTTGCCTTTGTGCTAAAGTTTTACTTTTGATATATTTGTAGTTTAAAATCATATCAACTTTTTGCTTTCGCAATCACTTGTGCGAAATGTTGAAAACGTAAAAATCGAAAATGGTAATAATTCATGACTTATGTTTCATTATGAAGATAAGAATTAGTTAGATAATGAGAATATAAATACAAATGTTTTGCTTCTTTCATGAAAATATTTTACGAGTAGTAGAATATTTACAGAAATTTATATGCTGTTAAAGAGCATGAACTTGAAAATAATGATCAACATTTGTTTTGGGTTAATAAATCTAAAAGCGAGTATAACTTAATTAGGTAATCAATATTTCATTAAAAAACTTCCGTGCACATTTTTAAAAGCATTTAAAAAAATAAACAATGAGAGTTTCGTCTTATAAAATGTACAAGATGCAACGCATTTTATGAGTGATTTGAAAAATCAAAATATACATAATTTTTTAGTGCGGACATTATATGTTGAGAATTTTCTTCTGTTTTTCAACTTTTGCTGTATTAAAAATATAAATGAAAATCGTTGATGACAAGTTAAAAATCGGAGTCAGTCTTTCATTTCATAATAACTGAGCATTTATAAACTTTTTATTTCTAGGTTGAAATTTATGTAACAATAAACTATTGGATTGCTGTACTCAAACTATTTTGCGTTCTTCCCATTATTTCTACTAACTACCAAGTGGAAATAAAAAATCGCCTAGGAAGGCTGTCATCTCACTTCATTTTAAGAAACATCACTACTTCCAGCATTCATCATTGTCTGCACAACTGTTTCGATGAAAGTTCCTGTTTATCTTTTCAAATTTGTGGTTCAGTCTGTCAACTTCTTTCCACTAACACAAATGAAAGATCTTTAGAAGAAGATGATCAATGTATTTATTTTACCATGAACATGTCTAGTATCGAGGTGAGTTTTTGAGGTAAAAATATTGTTACGTCTGGCATTTTGAAAATAAAAAATCGACGTTACTCAGCTATTTCTCTAATAATATTTCCATTATGGTAAAAATGAAATCACTCTAAGTATTTGTATTCATATTTCTATTTAAGTTAAGGGACTGATAATGAAAAAACTTTTGTTTTCAAACTTTCAAAGGCAATTGCAATGATATTGGAGGCTTAAACTTGCGTATCTATGCTGTGCCAAATATCCCAAAATTTTGTTAGCTTGAACAATAATTTTCATCTTTTTAGCTTTATTTGTTAAAACTTCTTGTTAGTAATGTTATTTATGGGCATGCGTAAATTAGTTTAAAATGTTCTTTCGGAAACAAAACTATACACTTTAGAAAAAAATATTTCCAACTTTTGTTCCACAAGTCCTTACAAACCTTGCAAGCCTTAATTGAGAAATTTAGGGTTGCTATATATTTAATTTTTTTTTATATTAATAGTACCGTCGCTAGGACGTTGATTGGGTTTTAGGGTATTTATATTACTTCAGGAAGTTGTACTGGATTGATTTCATTTGCAATCCACTAGCCTTTCTAAAAAACAAGAGGCATTATTAAACATATGAAGAAACACCTCCCCGATTAGTGATCTAACCATGGCACTGACATCTATATAAATCTTGCGAACAAAAATATTGCTTAACAAATATTGATAGTAGAATAAACAAACGTTGACGAAAAACACCGTTTTTTGCGTTCGTTGCTTTCTTAAAAAAATATCTTTAAACTTTTACTTTTACTTCGTAATGTTAAATGTCTCAAGAGAAAAGTTCACACGTGAAACAAGTTCATATGTGAAATTTAAACACGTTCTATGTGAAATGAGTTCATATATGATTTGTTTGACTAACAAATATATTTCACATATGAACATAATTTTTGTATAAACACATTCCCATATGTATACACTTTTCATGTGAAAAATTTCACAAATGCTAATAGCTATAGAAATATACATGTACTTAAATGTTACACTGTTTCCCTGAACATTCTTAGCGGGCAGATGATATTCTAGATGTTACTCATGCAAAGTACTACAACTAACTTCTATTGCATTGAGTTTGACTGTTGAATGAATAAGAAAATGTTTGTCAGTGAGTTAAAACAAAAATCGCGCGTTTGCATTATGGAAAAAGCAAATTCAATCCTAAAATAACATTATTAACTGAGGTAGAAAAACATCATTTGTTTTAGTCAAATTTGACGGGTGTAAAGTTGATGAACTATTGTCTTGTACGTAGGAAAGCCTTTATCTTTCTGAATTAGAGGAAAAACGCCAGAAAATCAAATAAATATCTAAGCTGCACATGTCTCAATGCAAAATTCACATATTTCATCAATATGTTTCTAACGCTTTGCATTTATGACGGAATGCTAGTATTTTTTTGAAAATTTACATTTTGTTATTTACTTTGAAATTTCAAATTATCAACAAAGTTAAACAATTGATTTATACATTTTAGTGATAAAGTGTGGCAGTTAAATAGCCGAGACAATGTACTCCAAAGTAAATACACGTCACCATACCTCAAAACGTAGTTGTTAACGAGGATTTTTAAAAATTTTATTATGATTTTTAATCGCAATTAACCAGCCGCAATGAAATTTATAGTAAAAAGGTACTTTTTGTCAGGTATTTCCCTTTTTAGATTTTTCTTTGTTTTATGTTTCTATCTAAAACACAAAAGAATGTTTTATGCAGTACCGTGTTTTGAAATTTAATGAAGATATGGTCTTCGCACTTTGCTGGACAATTTAAGCAATTTTCTCATGAGCCTGAAAAATTCAGGTGACTCAACGGGATTCGAACCAATAAAAAATTTATTACTTCTTAAATTAAGAATGTCGTTTTAATTTTTTGTTTCTCTTGCTAGTTCAAGTCAAAATATTGTACAGAAAGCTTCCGGTTATCATCGTATTGCTCTAATAATGGTACGTGTCAAAAATCAGCCTCTCCGTACCCTATGACATGTAACTTTTGTGAATGTAAAGGATTTGTTGGTAAACGTTGTGAAAAGAAAGCAAAGTCATGTCAAAATTTTCTTGGTCAGTCTGATGGCTGGTATACAATATTTACAAAAGAAAACAATGTGGCCAAAGTTTATTGTCAGTTTGATTCCGTGAATATTTGGACATTGGTTATGTCCTATAGCTTTAAACTACGTGCTCAATATAGACTTCAACCATATTATAAAAGTTTTTCTCGAAATGAAAAGTATGAAACATGGAAAGATCACAGACTTTCATTTGATGCAATGATGAGTATAAAGGATGACGGAAACACGTTATGGCGTATCACGTGCTCATACGGTGACAAAGACTGGAATAAAACAGATTTGGTTGTTGCAACCCATGAAAATGCACCAATTTTGAAGCTGAACAGGAAGGAGTTTGTTTGCCTACATGTCAGTTTTATCGATATCAAAGGCTACAACTGTACAAATTGCAGAATTCCTTTCTTGCAAAATGACAAACATATTTTTCATACAGGCAATATCCATGGTTCAATTATATGCAATCTGAAGAATTTCAAATCATCAGGCTGTAGCAATAGTGATGGTAAAAGAGGAGAAGATAATTTTGGATATTATGTTTGCTATAACACTACACATCGTTGTGCATCATCAGATAATGCCACAACACAATTATGGTTTGGTGAACGCATGAATTTGAACTGATAAGTACAATGTATGATTCTTAAGTTAAGCGAATTGATAAAAAGGTTAATTGGACGTTGTTGACATAAAAATTTCAAGTAACTACAGCTACGTTTAGAAGAGACAGGCATTATTTAAAATATTTAGTCAATCATATTATTAGAGCCAAGAATTCTACTTTGCCAATATAAGTTTATTGTAGACATAAATATTTAATAAATTATAGGGATTGAAGAACAGACGAATTTTGAAAAAAATTGAAATAAAAGATCGAACAGCTACTTTGCCTCTCAAGTCAAACACAAAAATTTTGTGTGACCCATAAGCTTCTTCAGATAAATTGATTAATAAGCTTTGTGTTTTTTGTTTTTTTCTTTAGCGAAATGTACCTGTCAAAAAGCATGTGTTAATAGTTTCAAAACAATCTTTGACATCATAAGTTGGATTTTTTCACAAAGGAAGTTAACCATAGATCTTTATACTTGCACTCACAGAATCGCACAAAATAAAGATTATACAGAAGGGTCTCTTGTGTTGAAACTAATGGTGTTTTTGATCTCTGCTGCGCACAACGGTTGGCAATATTGGTGGAGCATGTCGTTAGAGTAGTTACTTCTTCCGAACCTTTAGAATGGTACAAAGTCAATGCTTAAGCAAAAATATTCTAGAATTCTATGTTCAAAAATGACGTCATGTAAATCTAAAAGTTAGAAACAAGTGACAAATTCTAATTAAACGGCTGGAATAATTACTGACGTAAGTTTTGAAAGAGCATTCTGTGTAATAAATATTTTATGCTTGCACAACTTTAATAAGTCAGTATTAGAAACTAAGCTTAAATAACCAATGTCATGGTATGAGCAATCCCCGAGTCTGAATTGTTCTTTTTATATTCTGTGCAAGCGTATAAGATGACTTAATGTTGAGCACGATGAAACTACGAGCTAAGAGGTATTTTGTTGAAAATCAAGGATTTTTATGTTTTGAAATACAATTTTATTTGACATAGTTTATCTTCCATTGATTAAATAGAAATTATTTGAATTTTTTTTAATTTTCGTCGTGTAGAAACTCATTATTTCTGATCTATTTACGAATGCAAAATAAAAAGATTATCAAAGAATAACGACTATACAGGAGGGGCACTGAATTGTGCACTCTATCCCACGGTAGCCCTTATTTCAGCATAATTCTTTGGGTTTTTCACTTGTTTTAGCATGTGTAATAACATCAATCCTGTATAACTCTGCACATCACCTAGCTTTTTTTATTCATATCCAGTACAACCTATTCAGCACTTCATCTTTTAGAAGTTTGTTCTTAAATTATATTTACGTTTTTTTAAGACACTATTATAATCTGAGAGGGAGTGAATGTTAAATTTTGGAAAAAAAATGAATTGTTACCTTATTCGAAATAATATTGAAATTGTCCTGCAGTGCCGTAACTCAACAACAATCAATTAACATAAATAATATGAAGAAAGTTGAGGTGCTTTAGCACATATAAGTGTTTCTTATTAACATATAAGACTGGTCTTTGTTATCGCTTAGTGTATGCACTGAAACTGAAAATTTATAATGCAACATACTATATTTTACATGTTTGTAGATGTAGATCGTCAATGTTAGTAGAGTCTTGAGAAGGATTGTTTTTTTTGTTATTGACTGATACTTCGACAACCTTAGCGGTAGTCATCTTCAGAGTCAAAAATCTTCAGGTTGTCGAAACGTCAGTCAACAACAACAAAAATAGTCTTTATAAGGACTATATTAACCTGGACGACATACATTTACAAAATGTAACCATACTCTCGGTTCAAACCATTTACTTTATTAACCAAATTTGTTATCTGGCTCTTACGTCATCGTATTGTGTGAACAGGAAATTTTTGAGTGTCTGGGTTTCGATTGTGTATTGTTATCGTGGATTAGTCTAAAGTAGTGTTAGATGCTTGTTTCTTTTTTGTATTGTGAATGTATAGTTTTTAAGGTGATGGTAATTGTTGTGATCTAGTCAGGGGTTTTTGTTCTAAGTTGGTATATTAACTTTCTAATGTAAGCCGTTGTCTATAGTCAGTGCTGTAAGTAATACTTTTTGCCGAGTCCCAGTCAATGTTGTGGTTTGTCAGTTGATAATGTGATTAGTCTTGTCCTGTTTCTTTGTAGCTCGTTTGTGTTCATTAAGTCTTATTTTTGTTCCTGCCAGTCTCCCCCATATAGGAATTGTTGCAGTCGGAGCAGTTTATTTTGTAAACTGCACCTTGTCGTTCGTTATGTTTTTCTATATCCTTGATCATCCTTAGACCTTCTTTTGATGGACACAGAACTCTTCTCACATAAACTCCACAACAGATGTGCTCCACTTAACCAATGCTGGGATTGTATAGATGACATAACACTGTCAATTCTCAGAACCTTACGATGTCAACGATCTCTGCCTTTCCACTGAATTGTCCTTCCAAAATTCATATTACCGACAAATCTCAGGAACACCAATGGGTTCTCCTTTATCCACCTTCCTTGCAGAAGCTGTTATGCAACACCTTGAAAAGCGGTCAGTCACCAACAACACACATCAGACTATGGAGAAGATTTGTCGACGACATCTTTGCTATCGTCGAAAAAGACAAAACAGAACACATTCTACACACAATAAACAACACCACACAGAACATAGCTTTTACCAAGGACAAAGAACAGAACAAACAACTTACCTTCCTAGATATTCTACTTACCAGATCACATGAAGGCACATTAAACACACAAGTATACCGCAGAATTACACACACAGACCAAATACTCAATTTTAAAAGCAATCACCCAACACAAAACAAAATGAGTTGCATACGAACTCTCTTTAACAGGATTAAAACTCACTGCAATACAGAAGAAGCCAAGAAGAATGAGCGTAACTACTTATTCTCTATATTCATAAACAACAATTACCCACGAGACTTTATCAAAAAAGTATTAAACAAAATACACAACAAACCGCAAACTGAAAAACCTAACGAAGATACAGACGAACCAGTAAAAATAGTGACATTACCATATATAAACGGAACATCAGAAATTACATCAGGAGTACTCCGACCACTCAAAATGAACATCGCACATAAACCAACACACCAACTCAAACCATACTTCACTAAACATAAAGACCGAGCAACGACATTTGACACAACCAACGCCATCTACATCATACCGTGTAAAGATTGCCCCAAACAGCACATAGGACAAATATCGAAGAAAATTGAAACAAGACTCACTGAACACAAGAATACCATCAAACGACGCGACCCAAAATCACTACCGACAGAACATACCTACGATACCAACCACACATTTGACTGGACAAAAACACAACTTCTTGGATGCGCACATATAAAACACGCACGAGAATTCAAAGAGGCATGGTACAGCAAAGACAAAGCACAATAAACAGACATAATTACATCTCCATCATCTATTCACAACTAAAGAAAAAACCAAAACAGCAAACTAATAACACAACGACTAAAATAAAACACTCAAATTTCATTAACGCAATCCATACACCCGAAACCATGACAACGCATCTTATACCATCCAATAATATCAACTCAACTACTAACCAACCAATCAGACGCCCCAAACGCCTACAAAATCTTTGTAAATAATATATTCTTACATTCTGACGAAGGCACCGAGTTGAAAGCTTAATAAAAATACAAAATAAATATCCAGAGAATCCTTAATATTATTATATATATGCCTGGGTTACCAATTTTCAAATTTAAATATGTATATAGCAATAACATTAATTTCTTTTAAAAGTGAGAATGTCATATTTGTGGACATATATTTCATTCTCATTTCAGTTAAAGTCAAATTATTGAACAGAAAGTTTCCATATGAAAACGGATTACTGTCGAAGGTCATCGTATAGCTATAACAATGGTACGTGCCAATAATGAAGAACATCATACAGTAAGACTTGTTCCTTTTTTGAATGTAAAGATAGATTTGTTGGTCAACGTTGTGAAAAGAAAGAATGTCTTTTCAAAATTAATTCGTATGTTCAAATGACTGGTATAAATCATTTAGAAAAGAAAACAAAATTGGCAAAGTCTCCTGTCAGTTAGTTTCTGTGATTGCTTGAACATTGGTTATGCCGTAAACTTAAATTACCCTGCTTACCATAGATATAAACTATACTATAAAAGATTCCCTCGAAATGAATCGTTCAAAATATGGGAAGATCACAGAGTCTCATTTAATGCAATGATCAGTATAAAAAATGATGGAAACTTGTTCTGGCGTGTCACGTGCTCATACGGTGAGAAAGGCTGGAATGAAAGACATTTAGTTATTGAAAACAAAGAAAATGCACCAGTTTTGAATGAGTTTACTACAGTACCAGTTTGCCTAAATTTCAGTTATATCGATATCCAAGACTACAACTGTAAAGATTACATCATTCCATTTATTGAAAATAACCAATATATTTTTTATACAGACCATAGCCATGGCTTATATGGAGAGAATCTGAAGAATTTTAATCATCTGGTTATAACAATGATGGGGTTTATGGAGTAGAAGATAATTTTGGATATCATATATAAAACAGAATGTGATTGTGATCTAAATGATATAACAGAAACATCGTTGCTCATCGTCAGGAAATGCAACAACACAACTATGGTTTGATTAACGTATTTAGTTCAAATTAACAAAAAAGAAACCCAATATTCCTGTTAAAGCTAATTCAACATAAATTGTATATTCATCGTTTGTCATTAGAAATTTAAGTAAAAGTTTTCATTAAGTGCAAACTTTTCTATCTTTCACCTCTTTGTCATGTTAAACAAAAGAAAAACTGTTAACAAAGAAGTCGGAAAGTAACGCAAATTTATTCATTAAAGTTATTCATCAAAAATTGTTTGTCGGAAAATTAAATGGCCATAATTGATGCGAGCACCTCAAAATTACGGATTTTAAAGTGTCAGCTGTATGAAGATTACAGAAGTGAGACAAGCT